CAGAAAATGGAATTATGGAGCTGCGCTACAATTTTTTAAAAGAGTTTCTATGTTAATTACCAGCTGTTAGTGTGCTCAAAGCTACTGAACTTGCTGAATAGMGTTGTTTTGCATATAACCACCATGAAAATGTCACTGTAGTTTCAGAACAGAAATACTTTGCTTTAAAACACAGTTTACTGACACCACACTGCTAAAATTAATAYCCAAAAGCAGCAGGGAAGTCTGTGTTCCTCGTTGAACAGAACTAAGAGTAACTGACACTGCAGCAATGTTTTATCTTGCAATTAAATTCATCTGAGCAAGAACCATACAGAAAATGACACAACAACTGTGTGGCTTTAATAGCTTTGTTGGGAGGATTGTTCTTTACTTCCTTTGAGTCAAAGCCCTCCGGAGTTCACACTCAGCATCAGCATCACCTGCCTGAACAAGTGTGTTGAGAGAGGACCCARAACGCTGCTTTGAAAGAGGAAAATCGTAGTTCTCTGCAAAACCACCGAACAGCACAGAGCCGTCCTTTACTACTGCGAGTAACCCAAACCTCAGCGGGCTGTTCTGTATTACACAAGGAGCTGAGCTGTCACAATGTCCCGTTGTCACTTGCCGAGGCATTAAAGCAGCTCGGAGCGTGAGTCAAACGAGTGCACAGAGGGGAGCCCCATCACCACCGCCRCTGCCGAGCCAGACCTGTCAAAACACAGGGAAATCACGCTCGACTGCCTCGCTCCAGCGCTGCCCTTCGCTGTGCTCACAGCTCCGTCAGGGAGAGCAGCATCCCTCACAGCAGCATCTCAGCCCTGCGCAGCACCAGCACCACTCAACACATGGCAATAAAATCCTGACCCCAAATCCTGACCCCTAAAAGTGCATCGAAAAACCTCACTGACATTAATGGATTTTCTTCCATCAAGCATCAGCTTTAACTCCGTTCAGACGGATTCAACATCGGAGCACATAAAAGCAACGGCGGTGTTTAACAGCTCTCCAAACAAATGATGAATGCGTTYCAATTAATCACTCACTGGACACATCTGAGTAGACTGACACCAGAAAGAAATGAAGGTTGCACCACCACATCCATCTCTGCTGATTGCTCGGGGCAAGGTGTTTCACCAGAAAGCAACAGGGCTCAAGAGGCCACCACCATCCCAGCTCCTGCCCCACATTCCAGGAAACCATCCCCACAGGAGGGTGCCTCAGTTCCTGCCCCCATCATTCCAACCACCAGCTCCCAGTGGTTTCATCACATACCAACCAGCCTCCAAATTATTTTAGGAAGAGGAGAGCATGGGGGTTGAGGTAAGAGAGGTTTGGGTTGTTTGGGGGGGTTTTAGATGAATGGCTCCTGGATGGTGCAGCATTGATAAACACCAAAAGACCACTACATGCCAACACCCTAAATGAAAGTGCTTTTCAAGCATTTCTGGGCGTTTACAACTATTATRATCAGTTAAAATATGCCTCTAGCCCACAGAGGATGTGCGCATTYGCCTTCAAAGAACCAATCTGGCCGTTGCAGGGATTCTGTTAAATCTCTTGTATGGGTGTTGTACTCTCCCCTAAGGCTACGCAACCAAGTATTTTATATTTCTTAAACCAGACCTCTTAAACACAACTCACAGACTGCTCCTCCTCTCACAAAGAAGTCTCTGGGATTCTGGCAGATTCCCCAAAAGTCTGTTAACTCCCCAAACCCAGTTATTTTTCATTTTACTCGACATTTCTCACAGATAACACAGCGCTTTGCTGCTGTCTCTGTTAACAACAGTGCTTGTACCACCKCAGCTGAGAGATCAGGCCCTTCACACTCACGAGCTCTGTGCTTTGTTTTACATTCTACTTCTACATTTCTTTTTTTCTCCCTTCTGGAAAAGCAAACACGCTGATTACACAGCCTTCCAAAAAGGCAAACAGCTGTTGCCGATTTCTGAACAAAGCAGCCTGTTAAAATTAAAGTCCTGGGTATTTTCCCATGGCAAGTGGGAGGCAGGGAAAGGGAAGAGTTGCAGCCTGCTGGTTACAAAGGCTTCTCTTTGCTTGGCAGCTCTGTACAATTTTAATTGTAAAGGCAGTCGGTACAAACTCGGTCTCCCGGTATTCTCTCCGTGCTGACAGGCTGTCAGCAGTCAGGATATATCCTGCCAGAGGTCAGAGGTGTGGAAAAACAAACATGGGCAGCAATTTGGGAAGATGAAGAGGAGAAAAAGATTTGTCAGGGCATTTTTTCTGCTGTGGAAGAAACTGGCTGGACATGTCCCTCCACAGATTTAYCTTCTCACATGAGCCCAAAAAGTCCTGTTTCACTTTCAAAAACACTTCAGAGGCAAGACGAGCCCAACCCTGCAACAGAAACTAAAACTCTCACACCCTGAAAAAGTGGTTTTATTTAACCATATGCATCTTAAATGGAGGGGAGTGGGCTTGTGTGTAAGATCCTGAAGATTTATRGTATTTTTCCACACGAGGCAATTAAATTTACTTTCACACTTTGAAAGCCATTCATAGAATCATAGAGTGGTTTGGTTTTGAAGGGATCTTAAAAGTTCCTCCAGTGMCACCCCTGCCAAGGGAGGGTGACCTTCCACTGTCCCAGGCTGCACCAAGCCCCAATGTCCAGCCTGGCATCAGACACTACATAATTCCACCTAACTACAAAAAAACCCACCATCACTTTAGAATCATTTTGGTTGGAAACCACCCCTAAAATCATTGAGTCCAGCCATTCTCCCAGCACTGCCAAAGCCACCACTGACCCATGACCAAGTGCCACATCCACCTGCCTTTGCAGTGAGCAAAGCTTCCTGGTGGCTTGACAAAACCAAAGGTTGGGCACCACCCCCTCAAGAACCTCAGTGGTTCAGCATGAACAGGGAAAAAAGCCAACCCTTCTCTGCACATTTTGGTTTTTCCAGGTCCTCTCCACCTTAATCCTCACCACCACAAGGTGTTATGTCAACCATCAAACTCTTAGGGCTGACACAGAGCACTCAACGCTTCCCCAGAGCCACCTACGCTCCTGAAACCATTAACAAAGATCTTCTCCTGTAATCCCAAACCAGTTTGGGTTGAAAGGGACCTTAAAACTTATCTCMTTCCAACCTCTGYCAKGGGCAGGGACACRTTCCACTATACCAGGCTGCTTCCAAGCCCCTGTAATGCCCCACCTGCAGCCACAAGTTGATTTAAATATTGTAAATATTATTAGGAGCACTAGCCATGGACGGTCCACATGGAACACTCCCTCAGAGGAGTGGCACGCATTACACCCCACATTGGACTACTGAGCAGCATTTACACAAGGAGCGATTAAAATTCCAGCTGGAATACGTTAATCCAAAATTTTGCCAGGTTTCCTAGGGTACGGCGGAGGCTCTGGGAGCTCCATTGGCACTTCGGGGGCGCTGAGGGGCAGCGACCCCGGCGAGGAAATCAGCGTGGCTGGGGTTTGGCTTTTCACATGCCTTATCCCACACTGAGSATTTATCAAACACACCAGGGATTCCACAGACCACTCTCCCCTTCTCCAGACGCCGGCGCGCACTTTTTGGGGTGTTTTATTTCGTTTTCGAGGGGCAGCGGGGACGCATTTTTCGCGCCGCCGCCGTTCGTCCCCTGCCGTCCTTTTGAACGCGCGGCCAGTCGCCTTAAAAGGGCAAAATATCTGTGGCGGTGGGAACGGAGGGGCGGGAATACGGGAATGTGGGAACGGCAGTGTGGCGGGAGGGAGCGGGAACGGGAAGCGGCGTGAGGGGGACGCGCGGCACGGTCCGGCCCGGCCCGGGGTCCCGCCATGGCGGCCGCCCTGAGGGCGAACGGTTGCCTAGAAACGGCGGGGGCCCGCCATGGCGCCGGGAAAGGGCTGAGGCTGCGCGGGGAGAGCAGCGAGCCCCAGCACGGTCCCTGAGGGGACACCCCGGCACGGTCCCTGTACCCCGGCACGGTCCCCGACCCTCGGCAGGGTACCTGTACCTCAGGCAAGGTCCCTGAGCCCCGCCACCCCCGCCCGGACACCATCCCCGTRCCGCCTGCCCCGTCCCGTGCCCCTGCCCGCATTCCGGAGCCCACACGCACCCCACTACTGGAACGGCTCCAGGGATGCTCCAGCACTCTCCCGRTCATAATTGCAAGAGGAAAATGCCGGCCGCGGAGGGGAGGAGGGTTTGCCAACCGACGGGGAGGTCGCGCCCTGTACCCGCACATGGAGCCCGGCGGGGCGAGCACCCGCTCATCGCCGCTTCCCTGCTCCTTTTCTATCCCTTGAGGAGCGCTGAACCAAAGGCACGGCGAATTATTGGCCAGGAAGAGGCACTAAGCACGAAAGAGCGATCCCGCTCCCGCGAGGGCTCCGTTCCCCCATTACGGCGCTCTAATTTCCCTAATCTGCGGCAGGTGTGAAACCAGGGCAGCGCATCCCCTGCGCGCCCGCACCTGAGGATCCCGCAACTTTCCCAGCCCCCGCACACCCTCCAGCGCACCGGGACACCGCAACCAGCCCGTGCTACTGCCAAAACCCCCTCCCCAAAACACCAGTCCCCTCCCGGAGAGCCGGGCACCCCATCCCGCCGGGCTCCTGCTGGGAATGTCTCCCGGCGGGGTCCCGGAGCGACCCCCGGGTTTCTCCCACCCCCTCCCGCAGCGGTAAAGCCCCTAAAGCCACGACACGACCCGGTTCAGCCTTTCGGCAGCAGCATCCGCCCCGCGCCCCCCGCTGCCCCTGTTCCCCGGCGGGATGGGGCGGCCGGGTATCCGCGGAGCCGGGACAGGGGACGCCCGAGTTTCCCTATGCCGGCACCTCGGCGCTCGCTCCTGCCGCTCATCCCCCCCGCAAACCCGGCGCTCGCAACTTTCCCACCCCGCGGGGCCACCCGGGGAGGATGCGGGAATGCCGCGCTCTGGGCTCCGCTCCGGTCCCTGCCCGGCGGTGGCGGTGAGGCCGGGGATGGAGCGGGATGGAGAGGGAGAGGTGTGACCGAGCGGCGGGACGACCCCCTGCTTACTGCGGGCTCTTGGGGTAGAAGGGGAGGGTGACGTGGCTGAGATCCTGGATGTCGAAGGCGGTGGGCTCGGCCGAAATCGCCTGGCGCTTGGTCCTCTGCTCGCCCTGCAAGGTGCCGGCGCTCTGCTGCTGCGCCTGCTGCGTGGCGGGCCGGATCACCGAGCGGTACTTGTCCAGCTCGTTTTGCAGCTTCTGGATCAGTTCGTCCTTCTGGTCCAACTCCAGCTCCAGCTCGTCGATGAGCGCATCCCGCTGCCGCAGCTCCTCGATCTTCTCCTGCAGCGCGTACTGTAAATCCCGCAAAGTGCCCATGGTCTTGCCGCCGCGCTCGCCCCTCGCCGCTCCGGGCAACTTTCCCCCCGCGCTCGGGCCACCCCGGCCCCCGCCGCGCCCCTGGGCTCGGCTCGGCCCCGCGGGGCCGCCGCCGCAGCCGGACCCCCGGCACGGCGCTCCGGAGCCGGGCTGTTGGCAGGGGCGATGTGGATCCGCCTGCGTCAGGCCGGGCTGCCGAGGGAGCCGAGGCACACGCACAGACACACACACACACAGACAGACACCCGCGGCGGCAGCGGCGAGGGAGGGGAGGCGGGCGGGAGGGAGGCAGGGGCGGCGGGGAGGATGCACATGCTCGCCCCGCTCCCTCCCGCCGGCCCCGCCGCGCCCCGCGCCGCCCACGCCCCGCGGGCTGGCACAGAGGGAGGGAGGGGGCCGGCCGGGAGCGGCTCCGGTGCCTGCCCTCCCGGCCTTCTGCCGGGGGCTAGCACACGGCTCCGAGCCGCCGAGCACCCGTCCCGCCGCCGGCGTGAGCCCGCTCCCCTCCCGCCCTCCTCTGCTCCGCTCGAGGTGCCGCTTTTCCTTAAAGAACTTATCCCCCCTTTACTTTGCTTTTGAATTGCCGATTTTTGTTGTCTTCTCCGACTGGAAGCACAAGCCAGCGTCTGGCATGGCTCCTCCTCAAATCTCAGGAAGCTCCAGGCTACAAAAACCCAGATTTTCCTGGGAATATCGGTCAAGTCTGCCTGCACTGGCATCTGGCTTTCAGAGCACTAAAAAAAAAAACCCTTTACTTAAAATCTGGACGATTTTCTGCCTGGCGCACATACCCACATGAAAGCCTAAGTTCAGTTTCTGCTGTACCAGACCCGATTGGATTTTCCCAGAGTGCGGGATTTTCCTTCATGCACTCGAAATTTTCTGTGTGGCCCTACCCCTGCCATACAGCCCACGGGGCTGCAGCACAAAAATAACAAAATCAAATAAATGAGTTGCAGCGGCCGAGCCCTTGGTGCCAAATGGTTCTGGGTTCTTCCATTTGCCAGGCGCAGGAGGGCCAGCGACGCTCACCCTGACAGCACAGCTCCAGCCTTGGCTCTCTGGGGAAGAAACGGGGGTGTGGGCTGGTTTCGGGGCTCCTGATAAAATTGCCAGCCTAGAGGAACCAGGGATGAAAGCCCCAGAGCCCAGCTGGACACAGGAATCCCACAAAAGCTTCTGCAGCGYTGGGGCACTGGCACAGTTTCCTGTTCAGAGGTTTTTAGTAGCTGCTCCTGTTCGCTCTCAGGGAGTTTGATTTGGGAAGCAGAATGCAGCCCTGACTATGTTTTTTGGAGGTGGGTGGTACCCACGTGGTTGTGTGCAGACCTCCYGTGCCAGGCATGAGCTGGGAGTGCCCGACATCCAGCCCTGGTTATGGGATTGAGCTCCTTTGGGTTTTTCCTTTTATTTTTTCCCCCSTTACACACTGGTGCTTGCCYGAATCCAAGGCTCCAGCTTTCAACCTGCTGGTCTTTATAAAATAAATTTATAAAACAGAAGGGATGAAGAACTAGAACTGCTCCCTGCTCCACGCTGTTGTTGGAAAGGGTCTGGCCTCTGCTCACAGACATGAGGCTTTGMAGGTTCTTCATGCATTGGACCCTGCATTTTTTGAGATGCACATGAAAAGGGTGGGGAGGAATTATATTATGCAAAATGCTTCAGTTTTCAATCTCCTTGATGCATTTGTGCCAGGCACTAAACAAAGTCYCCCAGTTGTTTCCATGGGTTCATGGAAAAATGAAGCCCAGACAGCATTTTTCACTGTCTATTCCCTCCATGTCAGGCTCACATAACTCACTGAGAACAAAAGTACCAAATATCTGCTGAACATTTCCATTTTAAAGACAACAGGCATTAAACAGATGCATTCCTGCTGCCTACAAACTAAGAATCAGTGATAAATAAAATATTTTAATGGTATTCAGCTGAGACCCTTTAAGTTTTATTGCTTTCCTCCCTGCAGAAGTGAGATCTGCGGGAGGGAGAGGTGATTCAGTTACCTGGAACACATCAGGCTTCAAAAAACCACAGCCCTGGGGGGAAACTGGTGCATAATTTYTCGGTGACAGACAGTCAAAAAACATAATTTTGTTTCTATGAGAGGGGCATAGCCTGGGACTGAGAAAGCCGTGTCCCCAGAACAGAAAGAAATTGCAGAAAACCATGAGAAAATATGAGAAATAAAGCTGCCAAGGAATTTAGCCAAGTGTATCTAAAAATATGTATTTATTTCCAGGTGGGAAGCAGATTTTTATCAGAGCCTTGGGGTCTAAAGAGAGATTTTTATGGCACAGGTTTAGATTGGGGACCATAACCAGCAGCTGTCAAGTCCAAGGCCGGTTTTTGCTGTTTTAAAGAGAAGGCCAAAGCAGTCCAAAGCGCTTCACAATCCGACAGCAGAGCTCTGCCATGGGAAGGCAGCAGGCAGTTCCCTCTTTCTGGCTATTCCCTGCTCTCCCAGAGAAATCTTAAGGCGAGCATGGATCCTGGTGTGTGGTCTCAAGGATCCCAGGGTACCGCCCCACTCCAATAAAAATAAATCCCGCTCCTTTCAACTGAAATCCCCCAATAAAAACAAATAAATAAATAAATCTCAGGCTCAACAGAGCAGCTGCTTTGTCTGSTTGATCCAGGGAATGGAAAGAAAGAGCTTTAGGGAGAAGAATGGCAGGAATGCACCCTCTGGCTTGATGTCGGGAAGACGGGGTGAAGCTGCTCGCRGTTTAAGGAAACCTTTGGCTGTGAACTTCCCAAAGCCTTTCCCTGCTCTCTCCAGTGCCAGAGTGTGCCTGGATATCGAGTGGGAAGCCAAAAAAAAGAGYGTGTGGAGACATCTGCCCCAAAGCACAGCACAGCAGGGCTGGCTGGTGAGAACCACACAGAACGGGGATGTTTGTTCTCTCTGCTGTACTCACAATATTTCCTCTCTGCACAGCTCCGAGGTTTTAATAGCTTCTGCTTCTGAACCTTTTCAGGGATCATCTGTCACCAAATGCACCCACTCAGCTGCCATTTTCCAAGCTGAAACCGTATTTGAACACTGCCTATCCTGCAAACACCTCCCTGGATTCCTGAGCCAAGGCTCAGGATGCTGCGGGATCCTTGATGGGCAAATGCCACCTTGCTCCAGCCAGCCAGGCATCACTGACCACATACATAAACATTTTCCTCCTCCTGGAAGTGTTGATTTTTCCCTGCCTAATCCACTCTCGTCTTTTCCCAGAATATCTGCAGGAGCAGATCAGCCCGTGGCAGAAAGTTGAAGCRCCTGGATTTTGTGATGGATTTCCTGCAGGTGGGGGCTTTGTGCAGCTTTGGGAAGGTGTGTGAYCTGCAGGGCTCTGCCTGCCACTGCCACACAGCCAAATTCCTTCCATATCTGCACAGTCACAACAACACCTTTATCATGAGCAGAAACACAGGGAAATTTCGAGGAAGGCAGCACCGAAGCTGAACTCKTGCAAAAAGCACCTTGTAACCGACTCAAAGTGCAGTCACACCTGAGGGCCACCACATCTCCCCGTGGGATGCTACCTGCTATCCCAGCACATCCCCAAAATCCCCRGCAGCCCCCGAGGCACGGCAAGGAGTGCCACCTACTGAAACATGGGCACACCTGACTCCTGCCTAGGGCACGTCTGGCCATGCCTCTTGCCCCAAAGTGTCTCTGGCAGTTCCTTCTGGGGCCACAGTGCCCTACAGATTTATAGGGGGCAGCTGGGAAATAATTCAGTCCCCATGGATGAGGATGAAGCTGAAATTCCTGCCTCAAAGTAGCTTCTCCAAGACCAAGGAACAGGAATTGGCTATATTTTGTGCTTTGGCCTCTTTTCTCTAGGAAAACAAGACCTATCTTCTCATGACCCTGGGTGTTCCTCCCTGTTCTGGTCCTTTCCAGAGCCTCTAACACAGAACTGAAAGTCATTTGTTCCTCCCCATGGAAGGGATGGAGACATCCAGCTCTGAGCACGGTCATTTAAACCCCATCAATTCCTGTGTGCTGGAAGTCAAATCAACATCCAAACTGGATTATCCTGATGGGTTTCCTTCAGAGCACGAGTTCTTTCCATGCTCAGTAAGAAACACTGGGAAGTGTGAAGAGCATGGAGCCATTCCAGCCTGCCTAGGAAATCCTCCCAGGATGAATCTGGGATAGAGTGCACGAGAAGGAAAAGAAAAACACAGAAGGCTTTTTAATGGAACAAAAAAATTGCTCRCTGCAGAAGAATCCGATGGAAAAAATAACAACGTGCTGTACTGCAGCTCTAATGCATTTAGCTTTTTATATCACATTAGGGAYACACAGGACACAAAAATGGATGTTTGTGCCATGCAAAGCCAAAGGAGGAGACACTGGGAGTGGGGAATAGCAGMGGATTATCCAGGTAGCGTGGTGGTTTCCAGCACAGATTGAAGTTCTCCTTCGTGGTSCCTTTGCCTGGTGGCACAAAGCCCCTCATGTCAGTCCAAGGTGAGAGATCCCCCTGCCCTCGCTGCTTTTCCAGGCTGGAGCAAAGCCTGGGCTCTGGTCCCTGCTGGGTGGGCTGCAGAGCTGAAACAACAGGAGCATCACTCACCCCAAAATGAGTTCTACAGGAGAACAGCACCAAAAACTCATTCTCAATAGCCCAGAGTTCAACAAGCCCTCCAAAKCTTGTTCCTTCTATCAGAGCAACCCAAACTGTCCCTTGGACTTCTTTTACCCACTGACAGRACTCTATTCCCACCATCCCTGCCCACACTTCTACAGAACTCTCTGCTCTCCAAAAAGCAGCWTTTTTTTTCCTCCCGTGACCTCACRGAAGAYTGGATGTTSATCAGCTCACCCCTCTAGGTGGGTGCATGTGGTRGCAGTGGGTTCCCATAGCCCCTCAGGGTTAAGGGRATGCTATGGGATTSCTGGGAGTGCTTCTCCCATCCTCATGGCTGGGCTGTCTCCAGGAAGGAGCAAACACACAATCCCGATCCCTCCTGTCCAGACATGGTGACCAGTTCCTTTTTCTCACTTTCCAGAAAAAGCTGGACTGCCCAGCAAGATCAGACACAAGCAGATCTTAAACACTCCTTCCTCGGGGCTGGATKAAGCCACAAACAGCTTCCAAACAGTTCAGCTGCCTTGGGAAGTCTCCTCAAGCTTGGATTAAGCAGGAAATTGTTCTGCAAGCTGCCAGAACAAACACCAGGAGCCCTTTGCAGTTACCCCAGTTAGATCCTGCCCATCCCCTGCTTTGCTCAGGACTCCTGGGGCACCGACTGTGAGCAGCAGAAGCAGCAT